AACATAAAGTTTGGCATTCAACAGTTTCTTTAGTACTTCTCTCACTAGTTTTATATGGTCAGCCATATTTGTGCTATATATCAGGATATCATCAAGATACACCAAAACCCCTTTGTATAAATGATCATGTAGTACCTGATTGATCAACTGCATAGAGACAGCTGGAGCCCCCTGTAGTCAAAACGGCATGACTTTAAATTGGTAGCTTCCCATGGGACAGTTAAAAGCAGTCTTCCACTCATCTCCCTCCTTTATTCTCACTCGGTAATATGCCTCTCTTAGATCCAACTTAGTAAAGACACTCCGCTTTGCCAGGTGGGTTAGTAAGTCCTTCAGGAGGGAGAGGGGGTATTTGTTTTCCACACTCACAGCATTTAATCCTTTATAGTCCATGCAGAGATGAAGCGACCCATCTTTTTTTCTTTAAATAATACTAGAGCTCCCACCTGAGATGTAGCCCATTCAATAAATCCTTTTGCTAGTTCTTGTCCACATACTGCTGCATTTCCTCCATTTCAAGGGGGGACATGGCATACATCCTCAGTCGTGGGAGTTTGGCTCCCGGTAATAGTTCGAAAGAGCAATCATTAGGCTGGTGGAGAGGCAGGGTGTCACATTCTTTTTCACTAACACTTCCGCTAGGTCCCGGTACTCGCTGGGGATGATGGCTTGCCTGGTTGAAGCAGAGCAGCTATTTTTGCTAGCTTGTTAGAAGGGCTAAGTCCCCCGGTAATATCAGCCAAGTTAAGGGGGGCTTGGATCCTATAGGTAATCTCACAGTTCTCATTCCCTTCTCCCACCAGATAAACGGCTTCCATCTGTCTACACAGGCTAGCCCTAGGATCACAGCCTCAGTCATTTTCAGAGCCACCATGAAACAAATGAACTCCCAGTGCTCACCTATTTCTAAGTGTATGGGTTCAGTTAATTGCATGACTAAGGTTCCTCCCATTAGGGAGCCATCGGCTTGCTCAACCTCATGAGTTTGGAGAGCAGCCTTGCTTGTATGCCCATTTTCATGACAAGTGGTAAGCTCATAATGCAGTGAGAGCATCCTGAGTCCGCTAGTACTTTCAGATCTACCTGTGACCCCATCTTAGGGATTATGAGCTTGGCAGGCAAAGAGAAAGATGGAACGGGTCAACTCACCATTGGGTCATTCTCTCCTTCATCGTCGCTGTCATAGGAGGGCAGAGCAGCGGCAGGTCTGGTTTGGGCCTTGGCACTCTCCTGCATGGGCAACGTGACTTAGGCAATGGATTCCTGTGCAATCCAGTTGGATTTCTCTTTTGCTGGCTGCTGGGCTGGTTTCTTCCTTGCTATGGTCCCGGTCCATTCTGCTGTTGAGGGTAAGAGACTGGGCATCTTGCTGCTCGATGTCCCTGTTGTCCACATCTGAAATATTTGATCAATGGGCCTGCAGGTGGCTTGGGGCTTTCAGTGACTGCGGCAGTTGGAGGCTTTCAGGGTGGTGGTTGCCATTTGGGTTGATCTGGCCTCGGCCCATCTTCTTGTGGTTGTGGCTTCTTATAGCGGGCAAGCTGGACATCCAGTCTTACTGCTGCCTGGTACTATTCTTGCAATTGATTAGGGACTGCTTGATAGACACAAGCCTGGGAGAGGTGGTCATCCAGTCCCTCCTTGAAGTGATGAACTAGGGATTGTTTGGGCCACCTCTTTATTTGGCTGGCTATCTTGCAAAACTCTTGCAAAACTACATATTCCAGGGTAGGCCTGCCAGCTTGTTTTATCTTATGGGCTTGCTCCTCTGCTTTGAGGGCAATGGATGAGTCCTCGAACCTAGCTCTCAGTCCTAGGAGGAAGAGGTGGAAGTCCCCCAACTCAGGTGCTTGATTGTTGTATAAATTGTTCAGCCACTTGGATGCTTCCCCTTCCAAATTGGACACAACCACGTCAACTATAGTGGCTGTGTTTGGGTAGTAATAGGCACAGAGGTTAATGTGGGAATGCACCTGGTTGAGGAAGAAAATCAGCTTCTCTGGGTCTCCATCAAAAGTTGTTCTAAGGGGAGGCACCATCAGCTCCAGTGAGCCTGCATTCCTGGTGGTTTCTGGCCTCCCCATTGTGGATGTTGCAACCCGATCAGTTGCTGGCCTCCCCAAGGTGGCTGTAGCACCCCCCAGTTGCTGCAGGCCTCCCAGTTGCATGTTTGGGGGCTGTTGTCATCCCCACGGATGTTGCTGCACGGCCAGCAGCTGTGGCATCCCCAATTGCTGTAGGATCCCCAATGGCCTCAGCGACTGCTGAAGTGGCACCCCCAGTTGCTGCAGGCCTCCCAGTGGTTGCTGCACATTTGGGGGCTGTTGCCTCCCCCACTGCTGCTGACCTACAGGCAGTTGTGGCATCCCTGTTTGTTGTAGGCCCCCCTGCAGCCCCAGCAGTGGTTGTTGTGGGATCCCCAATGGTTGTGGGCCCGTCAGCGGTTGATGTACATTCAGAGATGGTGGCCAGCCCCACTGCTGCTGCTGCACTCCCAACGGTTGCAGACTCCTGGTAGCTGTATTATCCCGGTTGCTGAAAGGTCCCCAGCTGCTGCTGCACTTTAGGGGGCTGAGGCCCCCTCAATGCTGTTTCTGCACCACCAGCAGCTGTTGGCCTCCCAGCTGTGTGGGTTGTGGCATCCCCCATTGCTGTAGAGGCCTCAGGCTGGGTGGCCGGTAAGCACATCAGTCCGGGCTGCCATGTCTGGAGTGGCGACAGGGCTTTCCCTCTCTGTGGAGCTGGAGGCTATTGTAGGTGGCTTTGTGGATGGGGAAGCTGCTTGCCCTGCACAGGTGGGGCTGGGGCTTCCCCTCAACATGAGTTGGTGGCTCCCCCACCAATCATTATGATTGATCGCGTATGGAGAAGGGGAGGGATGTTCCCCACGTCTCATCTCTAACTCCAACTTCTCCACTGATTGACTATGGATTGTGGACAGGTACTTCCACTCACCAGAGTCCTCAGTGGTAGTTGATTTCATGCCTCTCCATTGGTCCGGGGAATGCGACTTGCGAGAAGCTCCTCTTTGCAGCTCGACTTCATCTGCCTTCGAAGCACTTGATTGTGGCAAGGCCATCTTGAGGTGTCTAAAGTCTCCACTGGGTAAAGTCCAGTCCGATGACCCGATCAGTTGTCCTCGCAGCTTGGGTCTTGCCCCCATCTGGGAGACCTGAAAAGATTCCTTCTCCACCAGTGCACTGGCCTGCGCTCCCTCCTCTGAGGCAGCAGCCACTGCCACTGCTGGTTTCTGGTGCCCCTTCCTATTCCATGTTAAAATATTTCCCAAATCTTTGTCGATCTATCCCTTGACTCTAGAGACAGCAACTGAAGCTCGGGACCCCAGGATGGATAGGGAAAAATTGGAGTTTTGGGGTTAATGTCATGGTTCCAAAAGATGAAACCCTTCAAAAGAACTTTGAGGCATTGTGTACCTTAAAGAATTTTTATTCAGGAAACAAAGTATCGGCACTACATACTTGAACCCAAAAACTAAATTCTCCTCACCTGGATACAAAATAACTAAGTGCAATTCTCACCTCCAATAAACAGTCATAAATCACATTTCCCAATTAGCTTGAAGCACGGGCTTCCTCCCCAGCTCTCCAGCCAGCCAAAACGCTATCAACTCTGGGCCCAATGTCCTTGGGTTCCCACGGCTGAGTATTTATTGTTATGACTAGCTGGATTCTCATCCATATCCCCCCTCCCAGCATCAACTAATTCTAAAAGCATAGAGAAAATGGCTGCATTTTCATTTGTTGTCAAAGCAAGAGCATCCGATGTTAGCAGCATTGACAAAAGGCAGTGGTGGGATTCAAATATGTGAACAACCAATTCTCTGTGTGGATGCCGCTTCTGGAAGTCCATTCTGAGCCTGGGCAACAAAAAATTAGCTACCAGTTCTACCGAACTGGTGTGAACCAGCTGGATCCCACCACTGGAGAAAGGAAATTCTCCCTGGGGTATATGTGTAACAAAGGAATGAATGGGGCCAAAGTTTTAGCTTAATTCTAACTCCTTTTTCAAGCTATGAAGAATGCATTTTTTATGTGGCTTCCACTAATATATGCACGTTTCTTTTATTTTAATTCATAAAATAAATCAGAATATAAATTTGGAAGAATAACTGCTTTACTTCACATTTTCTTCCGAAATATTTTTCCCTCATTCTTAACAGGAATCCTTCCAATCATTTTCTGGTGTATTTCAAAGACAATGGTAGAATAAGGATCCCTCCTTTCTTAAGACTTAGATGGATTGTCATCACCATGAAACAAAGCTTATCAATTTTTTGCCACACAATTGAAGAATATATCATAGTTAGAAAGGTATATTTTATGATTCCTGTGAAATAAAACATACTGTGAATGAAATCAATTCAAATTTATTAAGCAAATTTCTAAAATATAACTAAATGGGATAAATAATGTATTGCTCTCTCCCTCCCGCCCTCCCTCCCTCCCTCTCTCTCTCTCTCTCTCTCTCTCTCTCTCTCTCTCTGTGTGTGTGTGTGTATGTGTATATGTGCACGTGTGTACACCTTCAAGATAGTTTTTAAATCCTAGTGAATTTAATCCCTGCAATTTTCTTGGCAACATTTTTCAGAAATGGTTTGCCATTGCCTCTTTCCTAGGGCTGAGAGAAAATGATAAGGTCACCTAGTGACTTTATGTCTAAGGCAGGACTACATCTAGTCTCCTGATTTCTAGCATAGGGCTTTAACTACTACACCAAACTGGCTCTTGTATCATATAGTATTGTAGATCAATTTAATAATTCTTCATTGTATCAAAAACATCTTCCTTTTTAAGAAAGCTATTGGTTAAGAATTATTGGAAGTTCCAATTGATTTGTCAGGGACCACTGCCATGCTGTTGATCATGTATCACCATTGAATATAGCAAATCATTTGCAAGTCCTCCCAAATCTCTTTTCATAGAATAAAAATATATTTATAGTTATTTAAAAAGGCATCATGATTAAGAGATGAGATTTACCGTCTACCAGGGTACACAGCAGCATTTCGGTCATTACAGTCTTGGCCTCTCCAGTAATACCCTCTCAAATTCTAATTAGGAAGAAGAGCAAAATGAGATTGTTGATTTGTTGTTTTCACCCTCTAGGTATTAAAGTCTAAGAAAAGGAGGAAAAAAGGAGAGTCTGACAAATCAAATATCTTCTTGCCAGTTACGTTCAGAAAACTTATATTGCTCATTTTAATGGAAAAATAAAACACTCTGACAATTTAATTTTTTTCAGATAACTTTGTTTCACATTTATTAATAATTCAATAAATATGATGCCCTTTAGCAAAGTAATTTGCTTCTCTGGGCAACTTAATTCCATGACTACATTTCCAAAAAGGAAACAAAAAAAGTAATTATTACCCTTCACCCAAAAGAAAACAGTATTTCAAGGTTGTAAAATACATGAAACAAAAGGCTTTTTGGATTTTATAAGATGCTCTTCTGAGAAATCAAATTGGCTATACTTACCTGGTAAGTACTAAACTTATCTCCATCAAGATCTACGAATGGTAACTGGTTCTTGACAAAACTGAGGGAGAAAAAGCAGGGTACAAAACATGCACATTTTCTTTATTTAGAGTGTGCTGTAAACTTTTTCATTTTAGAATTCTGTTCACTTCCCTGCATTAAGTAGTGTCCTTCATAATGCAAGCAATCTGTTCTGTAATTAAAAGCGCCCTTGGACTCAAGATGTAATAATAAATTGAACTCCCCTCTCCCAGGTTATGGGCACCAATATTCTTAGAGTGATTTGGCTAGCAAATCACTCTAAGTGATTTCTTCACTTCTTGTCCCCCTCTCCCTGACACTTATGACACCTTGTCTACCAAATTTTGCAATAGCCATTTGAACATTCTTCTTGCTTGTTTGCCAGCTTCTGAGAACAATATGAAATCCTATATATACAGTAACTATTTGCTTTGTAGAGCAGAGCCATCCACAACTGGAGGACAGGAGGCAAAATAGTGAGTGGAACAAAACACTACTGCTTGATGTGTGCATTGCATGAAGGTAGGATACCTGTACTGTGTATTATGGACATGCCTGAGCTTGATGCAGCTGTTCAGCATTTTGCTTGCCTCGGAAAACGAACTGGATGTTTTATCTTTTAAATGTTTTTCAGGCTAGTGAATACAGCCAGAATTTTAATAACATATTTTTGGCTTTTCATTTCCAGAAAAATATTCTTTCCCCCATTAAATTGCTTTTATTTAAAATATTTTTTTTAAAAAAATATCCTGTCAAGTGGGATTGGGCCTCTAGTTAACACCTTGGAAGGTGTTCATGGAGTTATCAGTGCAAAGCATAAAGTTATTTGAAAATAAAGAAATTTAAAAATACATACAATTCAATTCTCCGGCACAGATTTCTCATAAAAGGAAGCGTACATATAAATGATAGTTCATGCACGTATTTCTGGAAATTGAAAACAGATGATTAACTGCTGATAACTACATGTAATTCTCAATAGAATAGATAAATACTTCAATGATAAGGGAATTTTGCAACAGGTTTCAACATTATAAATCTGCTTATAGTACATCATTTAAGCAAAATTATTAAAGTCAAATCAAAAATATTTTATTGTATTCATTGCTTAATAATAAAAGTATAATAACAAGAAGGTCCATCTTTTTTTTTTAACAATGGGGACATTTTAGATACATAGAAACTCTACATAGAATATGTCCATATTCGTATTATAAGAGTTAAGAGCAAAAGAACAAAAGCATCTTTTAATGGGATAGGTACTGAAATCCTAAGAATTGAGAACTCTCTGAGCTTCTTTGTTTTCTTGAAGATATTTCATTACCCAAATTAGGGCTAGTAAGGAGTGGAGTTTGCTCTCAGCAATCAGAAGACATGATGAAAACCCTTTAATTTCATAACATATGGACAGATTTATCCCTAGAAGCCTGGTGCTCTGACAAATTAGCCATCAGAGACATATAGACATAAACAATATCTAAATAATATGCAAAAGAGACAATAGGTAAGTGAAACAGGTAACAAAAAGGTCAAAACACCTCCCTACCAGCAATTAGACCCAGATGAGCACAGATTAACTCCAATGTTAATATCAGATGAAAAAACCAAGTAAACAATACCTCAATCAAGCAACTGCCAAACAAGCCAACAGTAAATAGTAAACTGCACAACCAAAGAAACTCTAAGACCATTTCACCAACACCGACAGTACAAGCCACTACTAGAATATATGAGAGTAAACTGCACTCCTTATCAACACTGATGATATTACCTACTTTGACTTTGGTTTTGTCGATTAGATAGATTTGTTGTTATAGAAATGGCTAGTTATATATTAATGTGTAAAAACAAAAAGTTGAGGCTGGAGTGTTTTTATCTTGTAGTGGGCTAAAAATCAGGGGTCCCCAACCCCCGGTCCGTGGACCAGTACCGGGCCGCAGCATGCCAGCAACCAGTCCGCACGAACAAGCAAAGCCCCATCTGCAGGATGCAGGCAGCGCACAAAACCATACAACCTCCGGTCCACGGAAAAACCTCTCTCCATGGAACTGGTCCCTGGTGCCCAAAAGGTTGGGGACCTCTGCTAAAAAGAGTTGGAAGTCAACAACTTTTTTTTCTTTACCCCTTGTACCGTCTCTTCCCTCTCTTTTTCCCTCCCTTAATTTCCTAATTCTATTTTTCTTTGTATTTTATATATAAATAAAAAAATAAAACAAGTTAAAAAAAACCAAACAAAAAGCACAAGAACTTATAACCATGGGAAATTCTATAATATCAAAAACTGACCACTGCTCTGCCTAGGTCAGTGTTGTTTATTCAAAGGCAGAAGCTTTCCCAGCCCTTCCTGCAAACATCAAGAAACTTTTTCCGTGGAAGTATTGTTGAGCTATGGGTCAATACACAAACATATCAGTCCATAGCCAGGGATTATGGTCATGGATGAGTTTTTCTTGATGTACTGTTAAGTCTAGACTCAAAAGGATAAGAAGAACAGCAATTTCAGGGTTCTTTGCTCAGAGGTACTGCTTCTAAAATGCCAATTCATATTTTTCAGTAGTGTTTGATTTCCTATGATTAAAATATGTTAACATTTGTGCAATTTCTCTTGTGCTTGACATATATATTTTCTCTCAGGGCTCCTTTTCTGTGTCTTTGTGCTGATACTCATTTTCTTCCTAGCAATTCAGATTTTTTCCCCCCTTGATACAGTAATAAAAAGCGAGTTTTCATCTCACTTAATGATTCAAAAAGATTTATTGTATGTATATTTTGAATTAATCTGGCTTCAGCATTAACCAATTGCAAGTACATCAAAATGAAAAATATGCTTTGATGCAATTCCTTACCTGGCTTCTAGTTGTAAACATTCCTTCTAATTTCTTTATAGCTATGTTAAACCTTTCCTAGGAAAACAAAATAAAAGAAAGTCATTTATAATCCAGCAGGTTATTTCTACTCATAATTTCAGATAACATGTATCTATGGGATTCATAATGATGAATGTTTGACTGTGCTTCATCAGTTATTTATATCTGGGTTCATCATCACTTGCCTGTTTGCCAATCTATAACATTCCATCTGTAAATATTCATTTATGGAGAGTCTCATTCTTTTTCTTGCAAAGATTATACTTTATGGCTTGATTCATCTCCCAAGGATGCTTGGCTAATGGATATAAGCATGAAACCCAGGTATTTTTCAGACTGGAGACCACTGAAGAGAAACAGGGCCCAGTTTTAGAGAGGCACCTAAAATCCAACAGATACGTTCAACCCTCTTTGAATACACAAAATTGCTGAAGTTGAGAAATACTAATCAACAAATTTCTTAATCTAACACGGCCTGTAAAATTGTTCTAAGGAAATCATTACAACCAAAGTAAAAAGTACTTGATTTAATTCTGGCCCTGCATATTGTAGGATAGATAAAATGCCCTGAAAATTGGCCAGCCTTTCTGGCTTATTCTATAAACCATAGTTAAAGCAAGCTATTATTACTATGAGCCCTGAATTAGCATATTTTAGCTTCCATTTATGTAAATGGTTGCTGACTTTCCAAATATTTTGTTTTCCTGGAGAGATCAGTGAATAACGTTAAGAGTAATATTGGGTGGCTCACACATATGAAAGTTGGCATCCCTGGTAAATGAAGCTCTATTATCCTGTCAAAGAGGTGATATTTTCAAACATTAATATCAATTATTTATTTCTTACACCTGACAAGCTAGTAAATGAACAACTAATTTTCAGTTTTAATACTCTATATTTCATATACTGTAATGCTCAGAAAGGAACCTATATAGTACAATTATAAAACTGAGAGCGCGACTTCCGGTGGATCTGCGCGGGCGATGGCGGCTACTTCGTAGCCGTCCTCCTGGGTAAGTGTAATGAATCGCTATGAACAGCGGACACCAGCTGTTCAGCGGTTCAAAATCCCCCTCCCGGGCAAAGGGGGGGGAAGAGGGTTGTCTGAATAGTGGTAGAGCCACTTACGCACCCCCAATATTTTTTGGGGGGTGTGTGTGAAAGGAGTGCTCCCACGGAGTTCAGACTGTCTCCGCTTCCCAGCTGCTTTTGTCCCTAGGGACAAAACAAGCCGTTGCAACCACCTCCACATTTAAAGAGATCTGGTGAGTTTTTCTTAGAAGCGGACAGAGTTGACTATAGGATTTAACTTTTGCTTTCTTTGACTTTATATGGATTTTGTTTAAAGATTTATTTTTACGTTTATATTCCCTCTTTTTATTTTTTACTTTTTGCTGAAAGGGAAAGTAAAATGGCGATCAGCAGACTTTCCGGTGTTTTTTCTATCTTTTTTTCCTTTTGGGAAGCTAGAACGGTGATCGGTAGATATTTTGGTGTTTTTCTTCCCCTTTTTCTTTTTTTTTCTTTTCCTTTTAATGATTGGAATGATGTTTTATTCTTTTTTTCTTTTCTTTTGATGAAAGTGAAAAGAAAATGGCGATCGGCTTTTATGGATTTTAGAAGCATTTTTGGTGTTTCTTTTTTTTCCCTTTCCTTTTTTCTTTTTGGTTTTTTTTTATGATTGGAATGGAGTGTTAGTATTATTATTTTTGTTTAGTTTTTGTGTTTTGTATTTTGTACTTTTTGGTACTTTTAAAAAATGGAATGGATTTTTTCTATTTAATTTTTTTTTCTCTTTTTTCTTTTTCTTTTTTGAACTCCTTTTTTATATTTTATCATAATGATCCCCTTTTGGAGGATTTTTTTTTTTGAATTTATGGAGCTAATTTTTTATTTTTTTTTTGCTTAATTCTTGCAATTTTTAAGAAGGAGTAAAGTTTTTTTTTAAGATGGCTCCAAAGCGTCCAGTAATCTCTATAGCTTCCAAGGTGGCTTCTTCTTCGGTGTTATCATCAGGGCAACAATCTAAATTAATAGTTTCACCTTCTTCCTTGCCACAGTCAACAATGGTGAAGGACTTGCAAGATATGATGGGAGATGTTATACTTCAAATTAGGGGAGAAATGAAAGAGATTTTAGAGGAAAATAATAAGACTTTGAAGCAAGAGATAGTTTTGACTTTAAAAGGAGTTGCCTCTGTTCTTGAAAAGTTGAATTCTCGCGTAGAAGAGGTAGTAGAAAAATTGGAATTGATGGAGGAAAAATTTGAAAGTATGGAAAAAGAGATGAAAAACTTTCAAGATGAGATTCTTATGCTTCAATATAAACAAATGGAATATGCCTTAAGAATCAGAGGTTTACATGAGTCTGTGCAAGGAGATTTGAGAGAGATGGTGGCAAAGGACTTTGCTGTGATTCTGAATAGAGAAGAAGAGGAAATACTTAGTGGAATTGATCAGACATTTAGAGTTAACTCTGTGGTGGCAGAGCAAAAGAATTTGCCAAGAGACGTAGTAATTTACTTTGGGAAAAGATCCCTGCGCAATCAAATTATACAAGCCTTTTATAAGAAGAGGTTTCAAATTGCTTCACAAGATGTTATAATTTTAAAGGAGATCCCACCAAAAATTTTAAGAAGAAGAAAGGAGTTTGCTTTTTTAGCAGACGAACTTAAAAAGAGACAAATTTTGTTTAGATGGGATGTTCCGACTGGAATGGTGGTGAGCTACCTGGGGATACGTTATAGTCTTAATACTGTTTCTAAAGCAAAAGATTTTTATACTTCGGTCCTGGGGGTATGCTCATCGTCACCTACTATGCTTAAAGCTTTGGAAGAAAAAAAGGCAGAATTGCAGTTTGAGGGGCCCCAACAAGTAGAGATGAAGGAGCAGAAGACAACCTGTGCAACATATAATTGTAAAGAAAAGGATCAACAGAAGAAGTTTAAGGAAGTTCCACAAGTATTGGTTCCTGAATCTGAGGGAGAAGTAGGATTTATAAATTCTTTGGAGCAACCTTTAATGCCAGAATTGCAGTCTGAAGAACCTATGTTAATTAAAAATGGGAGGCCTCAACAAGTAGAGATGGATGAGCAGAAGATAACCTATGCAATATATAACTGTAAAGAAAAGGATCAACAGAAGAAGCTCAAGGAAGTTCCACAAGAGATGATAGACCAGAAGACAACTTGTCCAACATATAAACGTAAAGAAAAGGAGGTGGAGGAAGTTTCACAGGTATTGGTTCCTGAGACTTGTGTAACATATAAATGTAAAGAAAAAGTAACATATAAACGTAAAGAGAAAGACCAACAGAAGAAGGAGGTTGAGGAAGCTTCACAGGTATTGGTTCCTGAGTTTGTGGGAGAACCAGGACTTACAAATTTTTTGGAGCTATCTTCAAGGGCAGATTTTAACGCATTTCTTTCGATGCTTATGGGCAAGAGAGTCTGATATGGAGACTGAATGAAAATTTTAGATAAGAAGTTTAAGTTTAAGTATTTTGTTTAGGTATTTATTTGATATAAGTATGTTATGAATAGGTTTGGAGTATATTATAATGTCTTCAATGTTTGGGTTTTTTAAAATTATTATTATTATTATTATTATTAAGCAATTTGTTATTGGTAAAGATGTATATTACAATATGTTTAAGATGGTACTTGTTATTGGTAAAGATTTAAATGCGTATAAGGGGATTTTAATGTTTTAAGTTTTAAGTAATGTTCAAATTTGTGTTTTGGAGGGAGTTTATAAAGAATGATGGAATATAAGTATGACATGAAAAGGTTTAGAGTATATTACAACGTGTTTAATGATTGGATATTTTTAATTATTATTGTTATTATTATTATTTTTAAGAGAAGATAATTTGTTTAAAGTTTAAGTATTTAGCTTAAGTATTCAAAGAGTGTTTTGTTTCAATGGTATAATGAAGGTTTATATGTTTATTTTTTTTTGTTTTATGATAAAGAAAGAGGGAGAGATTAGATTTATATTGTACGTATAGATGTTCAAAGAAAGTAATGTTTAAATTTGTGTGTTGGAGGGAGTTTATACAGAATGATGAATAATATTATAAGTATGATATTAGAAAATGTTTAGAGTATATTATAATGTGTTTAAGGACTGTAATTATTATTTTTTTAGAGAAGATAACCTATTTAATTTAAGGTATTTAGATTTGTTTAGGATTTATATGTGTTTTAAGTTTTTCTTTCCTTTTTTTTGAAAAATTTTAATTAAGCCTGTACTCAACTCTGGGAAGGTTGGGGGAGGGTTTGGGTGGTTTGGGGAGGGGGGGAGGGTATGGGAGGGTGGGGGGGGTTTCGGGGAGGGGATTTGTTTTGTAAAATTTAAAAAACTTTCAATTAAAAAAAAAAACTGAGAGCGCAGAAAGAATTTATGTCACTCCTCCTGAGAGATACATTATTTTTTCAATGTTTCACTATTTATTTAAGCCAGAAAGTGCAGCTTGTTGTACAGGTAGTTCACAACTTACAATAGTTTGCATAATGATCATTTGAAGTTATAACAGTGATTTATGACCATTTTTCACATTTATGAACATTGCAGCATCCCCCTGCTCACATGACTTACATTCAGATGCTTGACAATTGACTCACATTTATGACAATTGCAATGTTCCGGGGTGATTTGATCACCTTTTTCAACCTTCTGACAAGCAAAGTCAATGGGGAAACCAGATTCAATTAACAACCTTGTTTCTAATTTAAAAACTGCAGTGATTCACTTAACAAACATGGTGAGAAAAGTTGTAAAAAGAGGCAAAAGCCACTTAACAAATTTCGCACTTAATAATATAAATTTTGGGTTCAATTGTGGTTGTAACTTGAGGACTACCTGTATTATGGTTCATTCCCCTTTTCCAAGTCATATTTGAAATAGAGGGAGCCATCTTTTTCTAGTTAAAACTTCTTGAACACTGGTAAATTACACAGGAGGCCTCCTGGTGATTACGTGACATCATCAAATGGCATGGGAATGAAAAAAATCAGCCAATTTTTCTTACTTTGG